ATCTGCCCATCACTAGTTCAAAGAAATGGGCTTTTTATTAACCCAAAAAATAAGAGAAAAGTACAAACCACATTAATATCAGATAAATTGGGCCTAAAAGAGGTCAACAAAAGATAAGGAAACTCCAAATACAGCAGACTGACTGTCTGATACTGCAACAAAAACCAACTGATCTAACAAGTGACACAGTTAGGGGAATATATATATTGGCTGGCCAAACCAACAACACACACAAGGGGTAGACCAAAGACACTATCAAAATAATCAACTAATAAACACTAAACAGTCTGCTCACAACTAAATATTTCCTTTAAAGGTGAAGAAATAAATGTAACCTGACAAATAAAGCTTTAACATAAACTACCAACAAATAAACAATAAATTTCTCCCAAACTCCCCCCTTCCTTGTATTGGGCACTTGGTGCAGTCCAGGCCTAGTGGGAGGTATTTAAACATGCTGCCGCCTCAGTCCAATCTTTTGGCTGAACCACCCCCATCCATGGACCAGGAAACACGGCAACTCAAGAGAAGTTTTACACATATTAGCAATACAAAATTAATCAAATGTGCATTCTCATTGATCAGTTGTGTATGTCCAATATCAAACAATACCTAACCTTCACCTATAACTTAAACTACACACATGAACAAAGAAAACTAAGAAACTACCCAACCAAGTCCATTGCTGGTGGTGGTTTAGGCCCTCACATGCTGAAGGCCTAGACTGAGGCCTTCACAGTCTTCTGAAGCGAAAATTTTAAGCTTATCCATAGCTCTGTGAATATACTTCATAATTAAAGTGTAACTATGCTTTGCATTCAGCCTGAACAAACCTCGAAGAGCTGATTTTTTTTTTAGGATGTGTAAGAAATCAACATGAGGGACTATGAACACTAATGATGAACATCACTACTATAATAAAGGATACTGTGTGTCTTGGAAAGCAAAACCCATTATCATGGGTGCAGCAGCACAGTCTGTTAGGTTTGTGTCTGAGAGATTAATGACTTTGGCTGCGGTTCTTGCCAACATAAAGTACCTCTGTTCAACTTTGAAATTTCAAAAATGAAACCCAGGACCGAACAGAAAGCAACAACCTTGCCTGCAGTGAGGTGTTTCCTAAGTAATGTTTTGGCATGTTGAGCCAAAATTAATCTGCAAACAGGTGTCTGGAGAGGATGTGTCCTATTAGTGACGGCACTCCATGTCCTTTATTAACACAGTCTGTGAAACAGTTAGTCAGGAGTTTACAAAGTTGCTTTAAGTTGATTTATTGATTTTATATTAGGTAACTAAAGAGGAGTCCTAAGACATAATCTTGCCAATCTCACCAATCTTGATTTTTTACCAGCCTACGCATAATTTCCTGGCTCAAAATAACATTTCATTGGCTGTATTGGGTTCAGAGGAAAGGTTTTTTTTTGAAAGAATGAATGAAGCTGCACATTTATGAATTAGACTGGAGTCATAAAGAGGTGGTTAGGGTGAATGGCAGTTGTACAAAATGCCTGACTGTACCTGTATAAACCAAGGTTTGCATTCAGACTCCCCTCTGTGGTTCAGTGTAGGCAACAAAACCACATTTATTTACACTGTAACTGGCTTCCACACTAGTTGCAAGGCACAGCGCCCTGCAGTTTCTAGTGTATTCATGCAGTCAGTGACTTTGTAATGTCTTCTTCTGATATTTTGTGGACACACGCTGATAGCTGCTGTGTTCTTTTCTCTCTACCTCAACGTTTTCTGAATCATTTGCTTAAGAGAAACAGCAAAAACTAATGTTACTGCTTGTGTTGAAAATCATCCAGCTGAAAGTTCGAGCCATAGAGAACAGGTAATATCTGAGCTGTGCATTGCTCTTGCTCAGTTTCTCTCTTGACTCTTACACATAAGTATGCTCTGCATGCAGATGCTTGGCTGATAATTCCTTCTGGATGAGGAGGTTAGCGGGTGGGCTGGGGGGTCTCTGGCTGTCTTTCCTTGTCAGTGGGTCTCTTTCTCTCTCTCTTTCCGTGCTGGCGGCAGCGTTTTACTGTTGGCAGTAGAGACCAGAATAAAAACAGCAACACAGACAGAGGAGGAAAAAAAGCAATGTGATCCATTGAACCAGTCTTTGCCCCTTCCTAATTACGTCGAGTCTCATATCTTTTCCTTTTTTCACCTTTTTCCTTTCTCTTTAAGACTTCAGATTAGTGGTAATTAGACGAGAATAAAACCAGCTGATAGAGAGAGGGGTGGTGCATTTTGGAGCAAGATGGCTAACAGAAACATTCTGTTGCTCTTCTGTGGACTCTTCCTCTTAGCACTGATTCAGCCTTCTCTTCAAGGAGGTAAGTGCATGCTACAGGTGACCTGTTCCAAAGTCTTTCCTTCATCAGTCACTGATTTAGAACAGGTGCATTTTTCTTGTCTGTGCCTCCTTGACCCTCCAAGATTAGTTGTCAAGCAGTACTTTCACTTATTAAACTGAAAACTTTTCAATGCTGTTTGCTGCTTAGTGAAAGTGCTAACTTTGTTTCATTGCTTTTTTTAAATTAGTTTGAGCCATAACTTGACAAAAGACACTTCTAAATTTGCATTGCTACTGTGTGTATTTTTGATTAGATGATTTAAATAAACTGATAATAAAAAAACCCTTATGCTACAGTCATGAAAATTAACATGAAGCTCACTTAGTCAGACTGATCTTCTCCACATTTATTGAATCCTTGAATAGAGGTGCTCCATCATACCAAAGTTGAAGAGGATACAGAAATAAACAGACAGCAAATCATGTTGCATTTTCATTGCTGCTAAGACCAGATTTTTGTGTTCCATGGCCTTAAACTGTGTATTGGTTTTAGCAGTAAGAGATGATCCTGCATCAACTTCATAATAATGTTCCTTGGTCAAATCATTAGCATGTGTGTGCACTCTAAATATAAATTCTAAGTTATTAGTTTTGTGGTTCTCAAGTTTGTTGATGTGTATTTTTCCAGACAAATAAATTACGTGCTGCACACACACAGCTATTGTATGTTTACATGGCTGCAGACCATGTCCTATAAAATATCAGGAATAGAAGATTCCAGCTGGTCCCTCTTTCCGCTCAGCAAAACCTCATAGATTAAAGTCACCTCTGATGAACTTCCAGCTGGACAGACTGCGTGTGAGGGCCACCTTTACAGCTCTGACCGGGTCTTCTCTTAAAGCTAAAGGACTCTTTTGCCCATAATCTACAAAGCAGCGATATGCAGATCTGATGAGTTAGTTTCAGTTTAAAGTTCCTGTTTATTTGTTTCAAACAGAGAGAGGAAGAGGGAGAGAGAGAGGTTATGAGCATGCATTTACTCCCACTCCCGATCAGCATGTGAGTTTGCTTTTTCTCTCCTTTCTGCGTTGCTTTGATTTGATTCTTGGAATTTTATTTTTGGCTGAGGTTATCAGAATTTTTTAGCCACTAACTGGAAAACATGTTTAGCATCTGGGACTGGGTATGCTAGAGTAAAGTTGTATGTGTTGTATGTTGTCTGTTGTATTTATTTACTTAAAAATCACAGCTGTTTATGTTCCTCATCTTTCAGTGTTCAAGTGTTTTTTTCAGATTTATTATGGTTAGACTGTTAGACTCCTAAAAGAAACATTTCTGTGTATCAAGCTATTATGTAGGCTTTCTCTGATTTGATCCTTTTGACAAAGTCTCCCAAGCCTGTCATATTCAGGTCATAGATTGTATCATCAAAAGTGTCTTGGTCTTTCAGGTGCATTCAGGTAAACTATATACAGTAGCAGGTAAGAAACCAACAAATATCAACACTAGCTTAGGAAGCACAAGTGAGTGCTGAATCCATCCATGTCAAACATTTCCATGGAACTCAAACTAGTCTGCGTCTCTGCACTTGGAAAAAAGTCTTGGCCTGGTCCCGGGGTCAATTATCTGTGAGTAACATGAACCTCATTAACACCCAATCCACTCATTTAAAGCCTCTGCACAGAAAATACCTTTAACACTTGTAAATTTCACTCCTTGAATTATGATGTAGTCCTGTATGAATGTTTTTCATGGACAAATGTAAATGAGTTATGGTCCTACAGGAAACATCTGGTAAGGAATTTGTTAATAAATATACCCCTGTCAAGTTACCCCATTACCATGTACAGGTACAGTCATATGGTTGTTGCTTCTCCCTTGTACATAAAAAGAGGCAGACTTACTTTACACTCTACAAATGTTTGTCACATGGTACAGTGAGATGAATACCGTTCTTGTCAAAATAAATGCCTGTTAGTGCAGCTTGGGCTTGGCGGCTTGTATTATTTTATTGCTATATTAGATCACTGTATCAAACCGGGTGCAGCTAGTTGATGAAATTCTTTTTTATAAGTTCCTCTACTTAGAGAACCAAACCATTATTATGATGGACCCAGTTAATCCACAGTTCTGACATACAGAGGCTATTGGGAGATGAAGAAGGAAGAAGGAAAAACAGCTGCTCTGTTCATAGACTCCAAAGAATTAAAGCAATTGTGTGATGTTTTCTTAATACTACTCAAAGCCAGTTTGCCTCATTTGGTATCAGTGAGGTTGAGTCTGGAGACTGTGGAGAAATTTAATAATCAGTGACACCCACCTGGCTGTAGGTGAAGTTAAAATCAGTGCAGATTGGCTGCCTTGCCTTAGCTGTCACAGGACATTAGTGATGAGTTGCAGCACCTCCCCCAACATTGCTGATAAATAACTAAACTGATTGTCCTGATTCCTCAAGCAAGTGGTGCTTCAGGCTTTATTGGTAGTGTGTGTTGTGAGCACTTCTTCTGGAGAGGTTGAGTGCAAGCCAGAGCATGCTGGATTAATGTGATATATAGCACTCAATAACTCTGCAATTACAAAAATAGACCATTTGAAGTACAGTCTGAGCAACACATGGAGGTTTTTCTTCAATTTCTTCAGGTTCTTTAGTGCTGGATGACATTTTAGGCATTTTAATTTGTTGATGTTGAAAGTTTGGTGTAATTTGCAGTGAGCTGACCTCATTGAGTGCATGTTTGGATCACAGCCTTTTGGTTACAAGCACTGACTGGCCAGACTGCTATAGTGAAAGTCCTGTGTGTATACATATTTCTATATTTATAAGTACTTTATTTTTATTTTTTCCTAATGCACATTCCTTTTTCTTGTTTGCACATTCTTTTTTTCTCTCTCTGTCTTGTTTACTTGTCTACTTGTTGTTTACAGAAGAACATGGTACATACACACTGATAGCCACTGTACCAAAGTCAAATTCCTTGTCTGTCCAACACATCTGGCCAATAAAGCTGATTCTGATTCTGATTCTGATTCTGATTCTGATTCTGATTCTGATTCTGATTCTGATTCTGATTCTGATTCCATGTATTCAAGTCCTACCCTGGCACACATCCCGGTTAAGGCTTAGAGGTTTGGACAATACCATCCAAGTTTTACATCAAAGCACATTGCCTGGCTGGGAAGACACTCTGCGGTGAAGCTACAGTAGGCAGAAAGCAGTTACTTTGGCAAACAGGTTTTAGTACAATCATTTTATTGTAACTACTGTTAAGAATATTGTTGTTTCGATAGATAAAAAGTTCAAAAGGCCTGTACTGGAAATATCTAAGGTACAGGTCCATAGCCCTATACATACAATTCTTTACTATTGGTTGTCTTACAGTTGTAAACTTGATGGACTGCTTAATGTAAATGGATTACTGACTAGCTACTTTGCAGTCCAACATGATAATGATGCAAACATGTTGAGGTTTCTCACAAAGGCATCACTTTTGCATACACTTTTACAGCCTGTGCACAGCCGCTGTGAGGGTATTTAAATAGTAATACGTCCTCACCGTTGCGAGAAACATCATCATATCAATTAATACTGTAATCTGTTTACTGTAGCTCTTACTCTTTGGTTATGGATAAATGTCAGTCCTAGCACCTCCCAGTCAGATGTTTGGTCTGCACTTAGCCAGTGCCAAGTGTTCAACAAAGAAGCACATAAACCCGGATGATTCATTTCAGCCACTCCTGCAAGCAGTCCTCACCAGGCTGTGCGCTTCTAGGCGCAGTCTCACTGGGTTAACAATCTGAAATGGTTTCTGGCAGGAATGTTTTCATCTCGACATGCCACTTCCTACTAATGTTAAAGCTCCTCTAGGTTTACAGACAAAACGGCAACATGAGCACATCAGTATAAAAGATTTTTTTATATAAAAATTCATAACTGATGATCATTAACTTATGTTAACTGATGTTTCTTAGATTTTAGCCATGCAACTACTTGAAAACATGTCCAGTTTCAGCATATATTTTATAAAACATCTACAGACTATGATAGGCTCATAAAGACACACTTTAAATCACAGATTTAATTCTTTTCCCCTTTAACTATGTAAACTGCTTTTCTGACCAGCATAAAAATAAAATAGGAATGTCAGTAGCTTATTCATAAATATGACTGATGCCTCTGTAAGTAATGTTATTTCACCCAAATCAGATGTATAGCCATTTTGCTTTTTGTCCCATACAGTACTTAATAGTTCAGTCTACACAGTTCAGTCCTATTGCTGCTACTTTCATTTGTTGCACTGATCAGTATCACATATGCTTAGAGAAAAAAGGCAACAGTACATTGTATTTGGTCTGGTATTTCACGTCTGATGGATGTTTCCTACAAGGGCAAGATAAATTCATGGCAAATAAAATTGTGCAGTATGTAGTGAATGTTCTTTATGTAGTCCTTTATGGTCCACTTGACATTGCACCCATAACTGTGTCAGTTCTAATGACTACTACTGTGATATGATCGTATTAATCTGTTTCCGGATTGGAGTCATAATATTATCATTTTATTCCACTAGCCTGAAGTGATTTCACATGGTTGATGGTTATCTTCAACCACTGCTGACTCCTTCATTGTGGCCAGCTCTGAAATACTTATACAGAAGAGTCCACAGCTGTTCCAAACCCTTTTTTTGGTTTCAAAGGGAAGTCTTTATGATCCCATGTCAGCTTCCAGTGGTAATGCTTCAACTGAGATACCCAGAGGCAAACGGTGACAAGATTAGAATCAGGTCTAAGTTAAAATATTACCATCTGTGGGCTGAATTTGTTTTCCAGTGCATATACCTCACACAGATGTTCCACTTTGGAGAAATGTCACTGAGACAACATAGGGCAATTGGGGTGGGTGCAAGAAAAAGACGGATTTTCCCATTTAAGTTTTTTATTTTCTGAAATACTCCTCACACTTTCCGTTTCCACCGTCCAGCAGGCTGCGAAAAATCGACCGTGTAAGGGGTGATGATAGCAGGCCAGCTGTCACATGTCTGA